CCTTCCCCCACCCACACACACCTACATACATCCTCCCCTTGAACTCTCATGGGTGTCATTTCAAGGTTCTTCTCCCCTCACATGGAAGAAAGAACAAATTATCCAAGTTTTCATTGTTCTTATCCTTACTGGAGTGAAATCTGCCCCTGGGGCAATATTATTACAATATTTTCGATATGAACCAATTGCTCAACACCAGCACACCCATATACTATTATGGTTACACCATAACAGTATATGTTATGTTATGGTTACACCATAACACTATACAGATGTGCTGGTGGTGTGACAGTAAACTCCCTCACTTTCAAACACCTATGCGGGGACAAAGTCTTGAGGTGCAACCTCAAACCATTTTCAGTTTCTGTGTGTTACCTTGCTCATGCAACTCCTTGACAGCAACAAGCCTCTGCACCACCTGAGGTATAGAAGTAGACATGGCATCCCACTTCTGCACCACGTCATGAAGCTGCGACACCTGACAGGTAGATACACACATACAGGCTCATTTAATACCAAAGCCCTCCAGCTAGAAGAACGTCAGACTTGCCAACCTGTATGCATTTTGATATCAAAGTACACTGGTACAAACTGTCACTCCAAAGTACACAAAAAACTGGTAACACCTTGTTAGTAAAGTCTACTCAAACAAACATCTAAACCATAAATTCATTACCCAAAAGAAGAAGTAGTGTTTGAGAAATCATAGCGCTGGATTTGGGGATGACTGACAAATGGGTTGCTTTAATGTCATTTCAAGAGACAGTAGCCAGTGTCTGTAAATCCACAGAAACACCCTTGGCCTTGATTTGATGCCTCTTGCTACCCCTCCTCATTCCAGCTGGATGGTTCCTCAAGTGAGGACTGCTTATGAACTCCCATATAGAGGTAAATGGACAGGGGGGATGTGGACAATTGAGAGTGATTATTGTTAACTTACTGCCCAAAACAGACACATGAAAACAATCTGGATATCATGTAGAACTCACTGCTGGATCAAATATTAAAACTTGGGAGAAAAACAAAGTTTAATTCGATATGAGATACTGACTCAGAATGAACTGACTAACAAAAGGACAGACTGCCTGATGGTAAAATTTTGGTTTGGCTCCAACTAGTCTGTTTAAAACAGCACTCAGTTAAAACTGAACATACAGCATGATGGTACATTTCACTAGTCTGGCTGCCAGAAGCTAGACTACTCATTTTTTAGTATTTTATGAATAAACCAAACTGTGTTTGCTACAGGGGTAACAGACATATCATTCAGTTTCTTGACCAAAACACCTCAGCTTTTATAAATATAGGGACCCGGATGTGCTTTGAAACTCTGAGTTTCCACTTTCACAGAGTATAAATGCATTTGAGATCATTACTGATGGATGGACACAGAACACTAACCTTGTTTTGTGTATCAGCATCCTCGATGGCTGCTTTGTTTTTAGCAATCTCATTCATCTTCCCAAGGACGCTCTAAATGTGAGGGTAGAGAAGTAATTATGCTAATTGTGCAAGAGGTACTTAATGGTCTTCAGATATATAATTGGAAAAAAGACAAGTACTGAGTAGCTCAATGCCAAAAATGTTGTAAACTCACACCAGGCTATGTCCCAGGTAATTACGCTTCTTTAATAGTGTGGATGAGATCTTGCATTAAAGGTTCTGTCTATTTTTATATTTACATTTGTGAGATACACAACATACAATGTTAGCTGCCCAGGTTGGCAGACAGCTGCACTGTATTCTGTACTGGGATTTGTTACCTGCAGTCTTGCCTCCACTTGATCCAGAGTAGCAGAGTCCAGAGCGCTGACCCTCGCCTGTAGGAGCTCTATGGTGTCCTGATACAAGCAAGCACACAAACCCCAGTTATACAGAGCCTAAACTAGAGCACAGAACTTTGTGTTCTTGCTCTTACTACTAGCACAGCAGCAATAAACAAACTTTGAGGCACTGATGTCATCTTTGAAGTGTGACCCAGTTCTCTGGCTGCACATCAGACACAGAGTTATGAATACAGACTCAAACTCCACACTGTTCCAAAGAAAGCGGTCGACTTTTTACCATCAAACTGGCTCCTTGTACACTGGCACTCAGAGGTCCCTGCAACATAAACACCAAGAGAGAAAATAGATTTTAATAACAAGCAATAAAGCCACTGCTGTAATTTGCATAAAGCAAGTAGAAGATTTGATTGGATGTGGATTGTTACACAGCAATAGAAGCGTAACAGTTCTGCTACTATGATAGTGAAACAGAGGAGAGATGTGTGGAAAGACTACGTTTGAGTCAGTGTGTACCTGCTTGTCTGATCCTGAACCAACAGCTATCTCCAGCTCAGCTAGACGCTTCTCCAATTCTGCCATCTACAGGGATGGGACAAGGCAACACATGGCTGGCTGTAACAACATCCAACAAGACATACACAACCTCCACCACCCACATGCCTTCCTGCCATTTATCCTGTTTATTGCCATTAAATATTCAGACTCTTCCCATGACAATGGGGAAAAGAGAAAAAAAAAAAAAACTTGTCAAGGAGCTGATACCACTGAAACATATTTTACGAGTGCATTCATCCTAGACACTTGACTCTAAATGCTGCCTCTACCTCCCTTTCCACTTTACCTTGGCAGACTCATTGAATTTTTCCAGCTCTGGTCTACTGTGTAGCTCATAGAGTACCACCCCATCTGGGCCTTTAGTGGATGCTGCTGGCTTTCCGTCTCCTGCAGCGCTGCTGCGACCGCCCTTCGCCACTTCCAGTTGGGTGAGCAGACGCCTACGATAGGAAGAAAAGGGAGACACAAAAGGATTGTATGTTCAGTAATGTTACCAGCCTCATGTGCTGCTATGCCTGTGCTCCCCTTTCTCTCTTGCAGCCAATCTTTTCAGGCTCTATTATAAACTACAAGATCAAGGTGAGCTTGGACTCTTTCAAAACCGTTTCATCACTTGTGTTGCTGCCTCTTTGGCACTCTCTCCTCAGCTCCCCTCCCTCACTGAGCTCTGACATGTTTCTAGTCTATTAATCTTTCAACTTCCCCAATTTTTATTTCCCCTTCCAAATCATCTGTCCATCAGATCTGAAGGGTTTATATCTTGGCAGTCGGTACCAGCTGCGCTGCCTTTTCCTTATTACTTGGTCCTTGTTTATATCAGGGTTATGGTGCAGGGCTCAGTGAAATTAATACCCCTGCTCTTCTCCCTGACCATCTCTTGCTGACTCCCTCTATTTCTTCAGACTACCCTTTATCAGCCACTCTCTCTATCCATTTCCTGCCTACTAACCCATCACTCATGGGTCTGATATGTTGTAACATCAGGTCTCAGATTCCAAATGCTTGTCTTCTTGCTTTATTGTCTTGTCACTCTCCTCTCAGCTCACCTGGCCAGTGCTCCATCTGGATCAGACAAGTTGATGTGCGCCTGTGGGCCTAGCAATGAGTCGAGATGGGCAGAAACCAGCTGCTGTTTAAGCTGGGCTGCATGCTGGGCAAGTACCACCGGGGTCAGACGCTCCTCTGCATTGCTTTCTTTTGTGGCAGCCTGCAAGAGAAGGCACATCAAAATCTTTGAGTAATTAGATAGCAGCGACCCTGTAAAAAGGTTAATGTAATGCATACACATTCCTGCACTAGCCATGTAAACAGAATTTCTTTCAATATTTGACTTCAAATAGAACAATATTAAAGGGAATGTTCAGTATTTTAACCTAGGTCTCGATCAGCTATTCCAGCTAACAACATAGCAAAGCCCTAATTGCTGGATAACTAAACTAAACAGCTCATTTCTGCTTACTTCTTTTTGGACACAGAGACAAATGTTTAAAATGTGTTATGTAAAAAAATCAGGTTCATTTTGAACATGGTTTGGTGCATAATGTCACACACATGCAAGAACATTTTATAACAAACATTACTGTATACAGCAGGCAAGGGAATATTATTTAAGACTTTTCTAAATACAATTCAATGTTTCAATACCTTACTATGCTTTTTAAGACCAGCGGATAGCCTGTTTGAAGGCTTTAGGAAGTTTGCAGTGCCTTCCCCAGTACACCCCTGCTGTAGAGGCAGTTTGCTCCCCTCTCAGGCTTAATATTCTGTCAGTATACCCTACATGAGCCCAAAACCGACAGATACGGTCACTGAAACTGCCAATGCATAATTTGAATTGGAATTTGGTGCTGGACTCACACAGCAGCAGACCCTGCTCTGTGTGCAAATTAATGACACCCAAGGTTTAATTAGTTTCTGGGTTGTGGGGTCTTGGTAAGTCTGAAATGAAATTCCCCCACTAGTTTTAATCCAAACTCATTTTCAGGGTGAATTTATAGCTTCAGTGCACACATCCTACTAAGCTTTTGGATTCTCAGGTCCCTAGTGCAAAAGTAAGAAATGAACAAATATAACAGCCCTGAAACTGTTCTATCTAAAAGGTGAAACTCACTTTAATAACTACATGATGACATGTTTGAATAGGACAGTGGAGAAATGTCCCTCAGTGACAGAAAATAAAGGCTAAATAGATTTTCCTTTGTCTTATGGGCAGGGGATAAGTCTGCTTGAGCGCGTGTGTTTGTCTTGCTGTCACTTCACCTGGATGGCGTCCACTTCCTGAATGAGTTCCTGGATCTCGTTTACTAGGCGCTGGTACTTCTGCTGGGGCGTCTCCTTCACTCCACAGCCCTCTCCAAGCTAAACAAGGATTAACAAAAAATAAAGCAGACAGAAATTAGTATGAATGTGTATGGTGTCATAGAGCTTCAGAAAATAGAACACCTTTAAGAATAAAAAGGGAATTAATTTGTGCTGAACAGAATGTACTCACAATTTCAAATTCTCCTGACTCGTAGCCAACTCTTCTGCTTTTACTGATTCTGTCTGAGAAGTCTGTGAACAGGAAATAAATGGGTTTAAGAGAACTCAAAAAAAGCAGACCAGAGTGACTGGTCTGACTAATATATAGACGAAAACTAAATGATAAATGGTACTTGTATAGCACTTTTCATGGGATTTCTTGACAATAAGTCCAGTGGAGAATACCACCAGACCTATCCATTAAGATACACAGATAAGTTCAGAGTGATTTATCATCCTCTACAAACTGACCAAGTCCCTTGGTGCTGACATGCTTGTCTTTGAACTTGTCATAGGCTGCATTGGGGTTGACCACAATCCTCTCCACACTGTCACTGCAGAGCTCCTCCTGTCATTGAAGACACCAGGAAATAAAGTCAGATGAATGTAAACAAAATCACAGACAGCATGTATGACTACAGACAGCAAAGACTTAGAAATGAGCCTTGGCTTATTGAGTCAGTCAGCAAAAAGGTCTCAAAGCCCAAGGTAGACTTGAAATATGGTGACAGGATGGTATGATCTGAGAGAAAAATCCTACACTTGATCACTGCCCTGGAAATATGATTTCAAAGATAAAACATAATTTGCTATGTCAACAGGTGTGCAATTGCTCATTAAGGTCAGATTCCCTCTGAAAGCCACTGAAACCAGAATCATGAAAATCTGTAAGAGCCTCACAGCCACTTTTGGAGAACCAGATGATTTCAACGTGATGAAGAATACCAGCAAGCAAGAGCCAGATGAGCAAAATTCAATATCACAGCCATGTCAAGGCTTGCATCAGCTGAAGCACAGTACTTTAGAAGGTTTAAGGTTTTTAAAAACATATATACTTGTAGTATAGGTTGACTATGGTAAACCCAATGTTATGTGAATGAAAAAAGCTAAACTAACATTCACATTTCTAAATGGCAGTTCTTTGATTAGTGATTTTAACTGTCAATTTATCAACACTGAACTAGAGGCTATGGGTAGGATTAAAACACCAGTGACAAACACATATGGTACATCACACAGTTCCAGATAATGAGACAAACCAACTAAACACACACAGAACACAACACATTTACAGATGCATTGGGAGGGTGGAGGAGGAGGAGGAGGAAGAGAGTTAGTCAGGCTCTTACCAGCTCCTTGGGTTTCCAAAAAGAGTTAGAGAAAGTAACAAAAGAGCAGAGGGAGGGGGGAGAGAAAAAAGTAAGGGAGGGAGAGAGAGAGAGAGAGAGAGAGAGAGAGACAACACAGATTAATGTGGTTACCATGCACACAACGGGAACAGCTGGTTGGGGTTGGGGAAAGATAAGAAAGAAAGACGTGCTCTTAAAGTTGCTGCTAAAAACCCTAGAGACACTTTGTTCTGACAGCTTATGTCACCTCCAGTGCTTTCTCTCTTTCTCAATTCAGAGTATTAAGATGATCCATGAACACCATTGAGTTACTTTCTCTTTTGATGTCATCTTGTATTTTATAATGGAGTGTGACCATATGCTCTCACGGAGGCCATATAGGTCCCACAACATTGTTATGGATGCAGGGCATTAGTGTTAAAAAAAAGAGCAAGAATGAAGGCTAACGAGTGGTTTAAGGCTGATGAAAAGAGATCAAAAATGTTCTGCAAGAAAAGCCTGAACACCCTAAAAAGCTTTAGTTACAGAAATTGATATCTATCATAAAGCATTCAGTTGGGGTGAATTATTTCTTAATAACATGCAGTTCATCTGAAATGAGTCTTCTATTCTGAACCAAAGCACCTAATGAAGTATATTGAAATAAAGGCCCCTGTACACAGAGTGGTTTTGGGCTGGCCCAGACAAATGTGATGATAGATAGCACTGAGAGATACCAATGTACAATTTAGCTCTTTGGCCTGCATCAATGATCTGACAGTCTTAGAACTGTAAGACTGTGACTGCTGCTGCTATGATGATTAATATGAACAAACCTATGACCTTGTAAGATGAAGTTTTTTTTAATCCACACTATTTAAATGTGCTTTTAACAGGCTCTGACACAAGGCCATGAGCCAAAATGCACTGGTCTTACAATAAAGCTGTTCTACATACTGTAAGTGATGCTGGAGATGTGGCCTTTTACATTTGTTTTTTCCTCAACTATGCACCTTGGCAATGTGTGAAGCTGTGCCAGAAGTGTATTCGCTGAACAGTTTCTTAAAATTAGTAGCCGATAGTCCAAAGCAATTTTTGACTATGACTGTTATATTTTCTATTGGATACATATACAGCATCCATCCCGCAAAGCAATGCAACGAACCTGACAGATATTATCACAGTGTATAGAGGCCTTTAAAATGTGTAGTCAGTCAGAATAGTGCGGTTAGTCAGGAAGCAACTGTGAGACCATGACAACAGGTTAAAAAGGGAAATCTCTAAAACAAAGACTTTTCACTGATGCTCCTGTCACATGAGCACATGAGCCTTCACTGCTTTGTCACACATGACCCAGTGAAAGAACAAATTTAAGGTGTCTTATGTCTTATGAAAATAAACAAACACCACATAGGAGGAAAAGAACTGACTCCTTGCACTTCAAAGCAATCAAAAAGTGATGAATTGCAAAGCACAGAAAGGGTCTCCCCAACAACATATTTCTCATTTCATCCCATTCAACAAAGGAAAACTGAACATGAGATTAAAACAACATGCATAAAAACCATGGCATTAAGCTCACTGAGAGTAAAACAGAGCCAGTCTTACTTGTACAAACTAGGGTCCCAGGAGGGGTGGGGAAGAGTCAAAACACGGGGAAGGGTATGGGAAGAACAAATGTGGAAATATGGAAGGAAAAATGCTGATTAGGATTCACTCAGCTTGTCAGTAAAAAACCCAGACATGTTTGAACCAAGGCATCCCTCAGCTGTTTACAAAGTGCTTGCCAACAGCACTGTTAAAAACGACTTAGCTCCAGATGACTACTTAAGGCACAAGTTGAATGTCAGTGTGGGAAAAAAAAAAGCTTCAAAGAGTTACAAGACCACCAATATAACAAATATTCTGTTCCCTCACTCTTATATGTGGAGCTTAGATGGTATTTTGGGAAAAAGGTTTTTTTGTCTTCCTTTACTTCTCTTCAAGTATAATTAAGCAGATATACAAATATGCATAATATAAGGAAGAGAAGTTAAATAATAACTGGAAAAGGGCAGCTGTCATGGTAACTTGAATATGAATAAAATGGTCTAGGACATTGTTTTTTGGAATCTTAACCTTTTATATAAATGAGTTCATTAGTCATGAAGCCTCATGAAGTGAAGAAGTTGTTATACGCGTTCTCTTAGAACTTTTAGTAAATAGGCCTAACAAAGAAGACATTTCTTTATCGTCCTACTGAGTTAGTAAAGACAGCACAAATACAGAGACACTTTAATTTGAAATATCTGCTCAGCAGTTAACAGTAGATGACATCAGATCAATTGCATGCATTACAGTGCTGCTGACCTACAACCACTGATTTACCACACAAAGCGTCACAGTAACAATTTCATCGTGGCAGGAATAATACACACAGATTACAACGAGGAAATCTGCATCTTAACAATTAAATGAAATGCAAACACTTGTTAGCTAGTTACAGTAGCTTAGTATGCAGCGTACTGGCTAACTATGTGCAAACGAATACAGCCAGTGAATACAAAACATCTACTTACCGACTCAAACTGGGCCTGGTCATCTTCGGGAAGGTCTCCGGTCTCGTACACGTCTGGCTCGTTAAAGGCCTAATAAAACAAATAGGTAAACAATATGTCAGTTTCAGATATACTGTTTATTGTAGTTAGCCTGGCCAACGCCCCGGGACATTCAACAACACACTCTTGCTCTATAGTGGCTGGTATCACCGTGAATGTATCACGCACACCACAAAAGTTTGCAACAAACAATATACTGTTATGAGCTGTGTAGTAATCGAAAACCATAAAAGACAACAAAGTATACATGGATGTTATCTAAGCTAGCTAACACAGCTTAGAGCTAGCTAGCAAATAGCTCTCTAGCTAACCTGCCTGCTAGTGATAGTCACTTACAATTCCTGGCAAGTTTGCGTATTTAGGATCGGCCATTGTCAGCAGAAAGCAAAGATGAAACGACAGAATATAAATAACAGTTCCTAAAACGTTTAATTATCGACGAACCGAACCGAATTTTAACAAAAGCTAACGGCAGATGAGCCAGCAGTCTCTCAGCCGGTGACGGCTTCCAGGCTGATGTAGTCACTAGCTTGATTTGACAGCATGTACGTTTGGTTTCTTGCAAGCACGGGCAAATGGGCAGTGTTCTGATCGCTAAAGAATTTGACGGCCTACCAGGGTGAACGAAACAAACATACCCAAGAAAGTGGAGCGTCGTTGCGCATGCGTCTCATTTGACAGTCCTCTTGCAGTAGTTTAGCATCGATTTTTTTTTATTTTGCTATTAAATACAGCATTTTCTGTCATAATGTATTTAACAATTTATTTGTTTCACAACAGAATTATTTTGAATTTATTTTGTTTTGTTTTATTTTTAAATTGTAACACATGGTGGCGCTAAAGGCACGAGCAAACAATTTAATCATTGGGCCAAAGATTGTTTATTGAACAATGATTCACTCTGTTGGAAACAAATGTCCACAATGCCTGTTGTGGGTGTTATTGCATTGTATGTATTCCAGTAAATGCAGAAAGGTGACATCGAGTATGAAAAGGCACTATCATATACTATTATTTTTATTCATTCTTCGTTCTGTTGCTCTTGTCATTATTTATAAGGGGTAATTATCCAGTGAAAATAGTTGTATTCTGTGGCTTTTGCATGGCTTTCTGGTCTGAAAAATCATCAGTCATCATCAATATTATTTCATCCTGGACTTCACATAAGTCTGATCTAAAAGTCAAAATATCTTCAACTTTAATCTTTATTTTTGCAGAGCCCCTTTAAACCTCTGAAAAAAATATAGGGCCTGCGGTTCCCACATGACTATTCAGCCATGCAAAACAGCGTTGCAGACCTGAAAAATGGTGCTCTCCTCAAAACCTACTGACTCCCGAAAATATCTCACCTGCTGATCTATTGCAATACTTTTAGTTTTTGTGCAAGTTGGTGAAACGTGGTGAAAGGCTAAAGCCAAAGCACGATTCCTCTGTCGAAGCCATCGTGGCAGGAGGTGTAAAAGGCTGAGTTGAGGCTCTTCTCCGTGCTCCTCGGTCCGTCTGCTCAGTGGTGCTGATGAGAGGATTTGAGTCACTTCTTTAACACGCCACGCCCCCAGTGAGAGAGCAGGGGATGACAGTGATGCTAGGCATGCTTCTGAGGAGCTGCCTCTCCAGACACCGCCGACGGGACCACTGTGGACTGTACTCCCCATTTACAACTCTCCATTTGTTGTACATCTCTCAAATGCACTTGGGTTTTGTTTAGGAGCATTTTAAATAAGAAACACTCCCAAACGTGTTTCTTTCTTTCTTTTTAATTACACATATCCCTAATTAATTTGGCTGCATCTCTCACAAAACTCGTAGTACTCCATTCTTCCAAATGCTTCGCCTGCCAGTCTCGTTTTGCATGTGCGTATAGCCGCTGGTTTAAGTCTGCGCCCAGGTGATTTACGTCAAATGGTTGCAAAGGAAATCGTTTATTTCTAGCCTTTTATAATTTCTTTAATATATTTTGAAAGCGCGTCCACGTTTTTTCACAATGGCTGATGCTAACGCGGAATGCAATATCAAGGTGTTGTGTCGATTTCGTCCACTCAACCAGTCCGAAATTATCCGTGGAGATAAGTTCATCCCACTGTTTCAAGGAGAAGACACTGTCATCCTTGGGGTAAGTTATTTCTCACGATTCTTTCATTTTCTTTTCTGCACCTTTACACTCAGAACGCTAACACCACGGGTTACACTTTTCATCACGCACATACATCACATACTGGAGGCTTAAAGGTTTCTGACAGGCATAACTAAGTATATGCCTTATCAATATTCTGACCAGCATGCTGTAACATTCAGGTATGTGCTGCTGCCAGTAAAAGGCAGCAAGGCTTCCTGTCATTTAGGCTATCTTGCAGGGGTAAAAAAAAAAAAAAAGGCTAGATCACACTGATGAGCCACTGGTGATGTTTTTAGATGATTTGCTAGTGTCTTTTTTTTCTTTTTGAAATTCAGCCCAAGATCAATACATACAACTAGCCTGAGCTTCGCCAGCATTCATATAAAGAACCACTTAAAAACTCATCATTCTGAAAATGTATCTCGACTCCACCTTGGTGATCCCACACTGCTTCTTCTCTAGTATTGATCTTCTGGGTTTTGGTGTGTTACATGTCATAACATTTTGCTGTATTGGTTGTTGTTACTCTTGATGCACCTTTGATGCATTGGTGCATTAGCAAGTGTCATAAATCTAAAGAGAGTCATAATTATGCTCTCTGGGTTTTTGTGCTCAGTAAATGGATTTTGCTGTTGTCTCAGTGCAACTTGAATTGCAGCTGATGACCATCTCTGCTTTGGAGCAGCAATGAAAATGATCCAAGCTATAAAATATGTATCAGTTTGATGGATACATACAGGAGGTTGAGGTTAACAGTATGATTGTGAGTCATTCCACCGATGACATTTTGGCTAAATGAATGGCCTGCAGGAGCAAGATTAGAGTATTCTAAATGCAAATGTTCTTGTTTAAATGTAAAGCACATCTGGACCAACACACACACACACACACACACACACACACACGCACACGCACAAATGTGCATACACAAGCATGTATACAAAAGTGGACACATGTACATACATGCACTGAAACATGCACATATATGCCTGAGTTTATGAGTTTCACACTCATAACACAGCTCAAGATTTTTGACAAGCAGACTGAACGGTCAGTAGCATAATATTCTGATGCTATTCGAAGATGGCAGGTTGGCTTGAAAAACTCATTCCTTCTTAGAACCATGTCTAAATACATTCTGGGTGTTTTTGAAGACAGCAGAAAAATGGAAAAAAAAAACAATATACAATACAAAATCAATGCAGACTATTTTGAATCACTTTCTAAAATTATTCATTTGACACCAGTACTTCTGTTCCATTCAGGCGAAAATGTGTAAAGGATGTGCATATTTCATATTAGCCTACAGATGGTGACAGCTGGAAACAGCTGTGTGAATGAATGAAGTGAAATCATATTACTAAACTAAAGGAACTGTGATCTGTCACTATGAAATGAAAACCTACATGTATACTCTGTACCTTTGTTGTTTCCTACCAAATTTTCTGAATGGCAGCAGGAACTTTCAAAAACCACAGTGTCTGTGAACAGAAGCAATGCAGTTCTCTACATGTATTTTCAGTCACTAACCATTCCTCAGTTTCCTTCTGTTCAGACGGATGTAATCACAAATGCATATGTGCAAATTTTATCTATGTGAATGTAGTTAGTTTGGAGACCACCTGTGGTGTGACGGGTGGTTAGATGTGCAAATATATTCAGTGTGTATTTTCCATCTCTTGTAGCTCTAAATACTCTGAGGAAGTTGCCAAAAAAATGTGTTTCTGTGTGCGTTAAAATTCTGCGACTGTCAGATTGGATCAGGATTTAAATATGATGCCGGCAGGCAAGTAGGCATGCTACAGCGACCCTGTAGTGACAACTAAACACTCACAATCTGGCTTCCGATAAAAAAAACAACTCACATCTGGGCAGCACTGATGGACCCACATTTGTCTGCTCGAGGAGGCTCCTTTCCAGAACTTGTTAAGTGACAGAGACAGAAGCAATAATTTGAGTCACTGAGTGATGGTTTGGCTGCACCTAGGTGGCAGGCAAGAGAAGACTTTCTAAGATTAAAGACTGGGAATGATGGTGTGTTGGTGTGCTCTGAATTGATGCAGGAACATCCCTGGGCTCTCAAAACCTTCAGAATGGGTCTGAAGTCTGACTGAAGTGTTTTCATACCAGAGTCAAGAACCAAAGTGCCAGGAATCAGTTTGGATGTGTAGATAACTTGAACTCAGACATGGCACGTCAATTCTGCCAAGAAGAAACAACATAATAACATAAATAGCAAAAAAGAACATTCTAAAATATAAAGCTGTTTTTATTAGAGTAATTATTTTGTTTTCAATGCAATGCAGTTGTTTTTTAAAGCAAGCCTATGTCATTTTTGTTGAAAGGTGACCACTGTCACCACAAATGGCAATTACATGATAGTGCCATTCAATTCCCAAACATCTGATGACTCGCTTACATAACAGACATTTTCATTTGTTTATTTTTGACAGGTTGAGACACAGCATAACAGTAGAACAAGTAGATCAGAGTCACTAAGATACTAAAAAATGTTAGGTGCACAGCATTATACAATACTTTGCTGTGGCTCAGGAGGTAGCGCTGTCATCCCCTAACCAGGAGGTCGGTGGTTCGACTGTGTATGTAACATACTTGGCCAATAAAAGTGATTGAAATTAAAAAGTCTCCCTGTTCATATTAGAAAATGTATGGCTGTAACTTCAAAATCCCTAAGTGTAATGAACTGTGCAATGTTGCATATTATATCTTCTGAATTCATCTTTTCATTTGTAAAAGAAAGACTGGGGTATTTCACCTTTCAAAAGTTACATAATTCAGCTTAAAATCAGCATTAACTGAGTTTCGTAGTCACAATATTAACATCACATTATAAAGTGGTTAGTGAGCACAGAACCTCCCAGTAGACACAGAGCAACATTTGCATTCTTTGGAAGTTGAATTGCCATCAATATGTTTTGCTCTCCACCACCTCCTGAGGGAAATATATGGCTCTTTAGCTGCTAAATCCTCCATAATTGCAAACTGTGTCTGTCTACGCTTTTGTTGTTTGGAAGGTAGCACACAGTGAGTTTGTCAAGTCATTTTCTTATATGCTTGCAGCAGCTGGAAATGAAGCTGATGAGAGCATCAAGACTGGATCAAAACAGCAAAGGTGTGGCCTAGAAAATCAAAATAGTGAGTTAAAAGATGCTAAAACAGATTTGAGGAGAGCTACAAACATGGGTGATAACTCTGTCATTATGAAAAATATTGATTAGTACGGCTTTAAACTCAAGTTGGTCACTCAGACACGAACTTGAGGACTAAGAAGCCAACTCAGTTTGAGTAGACTAACTTAGACATCAGTATCTTGACCATGGACTTATATTTCAGGAGGTAATAATCAACACTTGACACCAGTAGTGAGGAATCAGAGCGAGCAGTACAACAGTAGTGCAACAAGCATTTAAAATAATCAGCAGTGCAAACACAAGGGGACTGAAATGTTTGATCATAAAAGAAATGCATTTGCAAAAAGACAGAACAGGAAAAGCTTCTGTTGCAACTCCAGAAGTTAGACAGTCACTTTTCTCAGCGGCTTCTTGAAACACTTTCCAACATGAAAACAACATTTTTTCCCTTGAATAATTGTGATGACAGTAGCAGTATGTCACATCCTCTTGCTATGCAACTTATGTGACACAAAATGAATGTGTTTATTATTATGAGTTGGTTTCACATGGTTTTTTTTTTTCATCTCACATGCTTGGTCACCTGCAGAGCCCTGCGAAGCTCTGTGGCTGTCAGTAGTAACCATAGCCGGCCTGTATTGCCCTAAGGCACGGCCTTTGTGTTTGCTGCGCCGTGAGTGACACAGCTGTCTCCAGTATTTCACTGTCTGGAATAATGCAGCGTCACAGGGCCTAGATTGTCCCTTGTAATCTTCTGGCAGGTGAAAAAGCCTGCCACACTGAATCGCAATTCAAATTCAGTTCTTTGAATGAGTAAATGGTCATGGCTGTCTCAGAGGCAGCAAAATATGAAATATTTTTTGTGATTGTAGGCAATTACATATAGATATTACATACTAGTGCTGTACATTGTGAGCTGTGCATATGCAAGGATCATAAAAAATGAATATATGCATCATCACACTGGTGGTATGTGATGATAAGAAACAAGCTTGGTGTTTGTAATTTCCGACCTGTGTTATTCACTCCATGATTGTTTGTTTACTTATATTAGCTGCAATAATTTTAAGAGCCTCACTAGGTGCTGTGGACGATAAACAGCATCATTTTCATTCCCTTTGTCCAAACTGAAATAATTTCATGGTTCATTTGGTTTCTGTTGTAAACCTATGTGATTATTTTTGGCTGCACGCTTGGGCTGACTTTAACTTAGGGGCAAGGGGGCAAGGCATAACGCGTTAACACAGATTATTAGATCCCCCTCTATTTCTAAGCATAAGAAAGCAAAAGTAAAGCTTAGAATCTCCACAGTGGTTGTACTCTGCAGTATCGCTTAAACTACAGGTCACTGTATTCCTGACACAATGGTACCTTTTATCATGCTTTTCAAGGTGCATTTTAATGAGTCTCCACCCAGAGCGAGGCCTGACTGACAAATCAAACGTCCCTTCTTATGCTTGTTACACTAAGTGTCAGCTATAATCCTGTCAGACTCAACCTTAGGCTGCGTGTGCATACCTGTGTGTGACTATAGTTTTAAAACCTCATTATATCACATCCCTAACCTTTATTTTGACCTTCCTGTCAACATATGGAGCCATTAGATTTTTGTTTGTTGACCATGAAAGAGAGTGAGGAAGGGCAGCTTCTCTTTGATAAAACGAGTCCCTATTCCCATGGTAGTGAATACACATTAAATGTGTGCATTAAAGAGCTATTGATTATCTATTTTGTGCACACCATTTGCAATTCTGTGGATTACTTCTCCCTGGCTGCCCATTGCCTCGTGTTCCCTTGTGTTCTTACAAGCTTTCTATAGAAACTCCAGGGTATTAAAAGCTACTG